TATTAGTGGGAATTCTTGCTACAACATATTCCAGGCTCCAGCTAGTAATATTAATTTCACAGGTCCTGAAAAAGGAATGGCAATTTGACAGCATCCCAAGTCCCTCTAAAGGTCAATCATTCTATTTTTTTATTTTAGTTAATTTAGCACACAACTGCATAGTATGCTGCTGTTTCTATTTTAAATTATATCTGAGGTAACTCTAGGTCAGGGGTGTCAAACTCGTAGCCCACGGCCCGGATGTGTCATTCACTTGCCATGCCCACCCCCGGTTTAGTGAAGGGGAAAAAGTTGTGATATGTCACGTGACGACAACATGACAACATGAGTTTGATACCCCTGCCCTAGGTATTGTGATACTTTGCAAGTTCTTGCATCTCTTTTTCAGTCTAATGTAAAAGCCTAGGTCAAATTAATAAGGCTACTCCTTGAAGTTTTTATTTTTATTTTTAATGACTACTCTTTGGATTTGTGTGTGTGTGAGAGAGAGAAAGCAAGTGTTTTTTTCTCTCCATGTGTGTTGAGGATAGTGGCGAGGGAATTTTCATTGAGCCTGGAATGTCTGTTTATCCCTTACCTGAGAGGCAAAACTTCAGCATTTTCTTTATAGTTCTCACCTGTGTACATTGTTTAAGATGGACCTCTCCCTCTTCTCCACTGCTTAAGTGATTCTTAACTATATCAAAATAATATTTCTCCATTTATTTTGACATTGTCTAAAGAGAGCCTCGAGATCAGGGGTGGGTTCTAAACTTTTTTACTAGCAGTTCTGTGGACGTGGCTTATTTTGTGGGCATGGCTTGATGGTCATGTGACAATTCTTTAGGATTTAGCAGAGGTACTGGTCTACCAGGCTTTTAACTGCTTGCAGAGCTGTACCAGTCTACCCATTTGTTTTTGGAGGCATTGGTCTACCCATTTATTTTTGCAGGCACCGGTCTACTCATTTGTTTTTGGAGGCACCGGTCTACCACCACACTGCCTTTTAACACTGATCAGCTGTAGGGCGGCCCTTTGAAGCCCCACGGCAAGAGTTTAAACAGCTTTTTCCTTCTAGCCGATCAGCTGGGACTCAGGAGGCAGCAATAGATTGGGGGTGGGGCCAAATAAAAGGTAAGAATAATGTGGGGTGGGGATGGGGGGTGGGAGGAAGGGGGCAGAACCGGTTCGGTGACGTTATATCATCACCACTACTGGCTCAGCGGAACCGGGCAGAACCGGGAGGAATCCACCACTGCTCGAGATGTGTAACATTTGTCTGGCTTTGCTATCTTGTCTCCTATGGGGTAAAGAGTCAGATAACTCCAAGTGTCCAGGAATCAAGGAAATAGGGGCAGGACAGGGAATGGCAGTGAGGAGAGCAAATTTAGCTGACCCGAGGAAGGGTGGAGGGTGCTTCAGCTCCATCGTTGAGAAAGGCTGTTATAGACCTATGTGTTCTCAAGAAATCAAGAGATATATTGGCCACTGGTTTAGCTACTAGGGTTGTTTAGATCACATGTTGAATAGCAACGACTCTAATCTTTTATAGTGATACAGTTTTTACAGTGGTCGGGTTTCGTACAATATCGTCAAAAACCTTTGCATTACTGGAAGTAATTGTCTCGAGTGCTTGAAATCACAGCAGACTTGTGGGAGAATGATCTATAAAGGATCTCTGTATTAGAATCTTCATGTCCCCAAATATATCCCAGGATTGCTTTCTTTTTTTACCTCTCAGCCTTTTAAGGCATATATTTTTATTTCCGTGCAATGTTATTTGTATTTTAATAATTTTTAATTCACCTATTTGTGCGCCCCTTCAAGATACTTACAAAGAGAGCGGTGCAAAATTCCATTCATTCATAACTTTTTCTGTTCTCTTAATCGGAATGTACCCTTCTCACAAACTATGGGAATTCTCAATTTAAAAATTCATCTAATTTATTTCTGGCCCATTTCCGGATGATACGGATCTTTGATGTGTAGCAATGCTTTGCCCCATTTTTCAATTTTCTCTTAGTGTAGTCTTTTGACAGAAGTTAATTACAGAGATGCTGAGCAATAATGCATGTTATTACATAGCAAGCTACACAGCAACTTCATTGGGAGCCATGATAATTAAAGAGTGAATTGTGTTAATGCCCCTGTGTTATTATTTGGTAACTGTGTAATTACATGGGATGACCCGTGCAAATCAGAGCCACATTCCCATTTTCCTCTAGGGATCACTGAATTAGCTCAAGCATTTTAGGCATCTCTACCTTCGGTACAATGCCTATCCAGAGAGTAATTTTACATTAAGGCAATACAAATAGCAATGAACAATAAATGAAATAAAATAGAAGGTTGGCATTATTTTTCACTTCAGGAGGCTTTATGAATGAAAACCCATACTTACAATATGATTATACCATATTTCATTCTAGGCCAGATATGGATTCCAGAGCCAATATGGCCAATGATCAGGGATGATTGGGGATTGTCGACCAACATCTGTCCTCACCAATGAATGCTGGCAAGGATATTTTGTTTCACTGATCTTCATTTCTTAACTTTATCAGTTCATAGCTGATGAATAACCCACTGTCTCAACTATTGCATCATTTGAGAGCTCTCAATTATTACAGAAGGACATTTAGATTTGGAACAAACAAAAACTTTTCTGATTTCAAAATAGTAGTGGCCAACCTGAACACTGAAGTCACATTATTGCACTAAGTAAAGCAAATAAACAAAACAAATACAATAAAGACATTAATACAGTACACATTTACTTTTACTAATTTATTATCTTCAAACCCCACAACCCACAATAGAAAGTTATAGGTGAGACGTTTATTAGTCTAATTAAAAATATAAATAAAAGGGGACATTGACTGAGCTTCCGACATGCCACTGTGAGTACCTAATTGAATCAACTTTAAGTGCAGTTCCAATAAATAATATGAAAGTGCTAAAGAGGAGTCCGTTTATCTTTACATTTTTCAATGAATTGTCATAGTGAAATCCATATATTTCTTTGTTTTGATTGATCTTCTTGCGTTGCTTTCAATTTTTCTTTGAGTTGTTATCTGTAACAAAAGGTTTCTTCCACACACTTTATATTTCCCTCTCCAATTCCACAAATCCATTTTAAAGATAAGTCACAATCATCTTCTAAAAGTTGATGAGAACTTCTTCAAGTTCTTCAAACAAGGACCTATTATTGTCCCACAGCAATTAGTCTAAGTTCAAGCCCCTGACCTCTACTCCAGTCAAAAGTATTCTGGAAAATTAAATTAAATAAGCAGTAGAAAATAATGCAAACAGCAGAGCTGTAGGTATCAGTAAAGCACTAGAACAGGACTGTCAAACTCCGGGCCCATGGGCCGGATATGTCACGTGCCAGCCACTCCCACGCCCGGTTTAACAAAGGGTGGGGGGGAAGTCCTGGTATGTCATGTGACGCCATTGTGACGCCATGAGTTTGACAACCCTGCACTAGAAGAACTCTAAATATCTTACAAGATGGTGCAGAAAACAAGCTATTTGTGGTTTGTAAACAGAAATGAGAAACACTGCCAGAATCAGTAGGTCAATTCATATTTCAATGTCCAAAAAGAGCTATGCTAAATAATGTTCAAACTACTGTACTTACATGTGTTACATGTGTAATATTTATTTCACATGTAAGAGACTCTTTAATAATATATAGAACAAGAATTGAGAAGAGGCAGGGACACCCAAGAGCACATTGCTAACCTCCAATGAATGATGGAAAAGGCAATTGAGTTCTAAAGAAGACACCTATTTTCGCCTTATTAATGATGTAAAGGCTTTTGACTGTTTAAACCACAACAGATTGTAGCTAGCCCTTGCAAACAAGGTATAATGGTCCATCTTATTTGCCTACTGAAGAATTTGCATGATGACCAGGAAGCAGCAAATAGAGCAGAAGTAGAGCAGAAGAACTAAGTGGTTCAGAATAGGGAAAGTAATGCACTAAGATTATATATCATTCTCTTATTAATTTAACGAACACATATTGGTATCAATTAATTAGAGGAACTTAGTTTGTTTAGTCTAAAGGGAAGATGTAACAGCTGTCTTCTCAAGCTTGAAGTGCTGTTACATGGAGGAGAGTATGTCCAAGGTTTCCAAGGATAGGACAAGAACCAATGAGTAAAAACCCTGCAGAAGAAGGGCCAAACTCAAAATAAAGAGGAATTTCCCAACCATGAGAACTATTATGCAGTAGAAAAGTATGCTTTCTGTAAACCACTACTGGAAGTTTTCAAACATTCAGGATTATTCTGAGAATATCTGCCTTGGAAAGGGGTAGACACTAGAAGACCACCAAGATCGCTTCCAACTCTGATTCTATGAAATCAAAAGAGTTTCATAGTCTCAGTATTGTTTTAAAAATGCCTTAGGGATAAAAAAAAATGTTTGGATATAGCTCTCAATTCAGGAGAACTGTGTTTTGAATTGCAGTCCTCATTTTTATTCTCAATGGATTCACAGATTATTTAGTTTGAATCCTTGCTATGCGGAGGAATAATGTGAGAATTGTAGGGAGCTGGATTTCTAATACAGGTTGCTCATCAGAAGGAAACTTTCAACATTTCAGCCAGCATCTTCAACTTTTGACTTGTGCTTCTATAAGACCTACTCAAGTCACAGGAAAAATTTCAGTACAGAATGTACAAAAGTATAGATTTTGTTTTGTTATCAACAAAAGTGGCACTCTTTCTTGCTCTACAGCCCTTCTTGAAGAAAGTCCATGTATTTGCATTACATCAAAATGCAGACTGCCTCTCTGGTTTCCTGTACCCTTTCTGTCTCTTTCTTGTTTTGTATCATCACTCACAAAAAAATATTCAAATAATAAAACATTGGGCAGAAAATGGCTTCCTTACATCAGTGCCTCAGCAGGCCGCTTTTTATTTTCTCTGAAGTGACAAGGAGACATTTATCTTTTAAGGGGCAGAAATTCCATTTTACCTCAGGAAATGTTAAGTTAGAAATGGTCAAACCAGGCCAATAAAAATATTTTTATTTGTTAAAAAGAGCGTTTACCATTTCCGACAGGAAAAAAATCTTCATCTCCTAAATATAGGATTAGGCTAATAGATTAATATTTTTACTCCATCCCCTGCCCCTGCCCCCATAACTGTTCCTGATAATATTTATGTGACACTTCTGCCAAACCCTACAAAGGACTTTTAACTCTCTTTAAAAAAAAAAAAAATATCCTGTCAATATATTCACTTGAGAGAAAGCTCATAAAATTCAACTTCACCCACAATCTGGATGATGGTCTGCCAAGCTCCACATAAATAAATCATCGAGTCATTTTTGGCATCCTGTGGACCAGAAGGAATATTTTCTTGGATAGATTTAAAGAGACATTGTTCCATAAAATGTAGTTTGCTGCAGAAAGCCTAGAAAGCAGTGATGAATTTGGATTTTGTCTTATTAAGAATCTGAAAAATAAAAGAGAAATAACAGCCAAATAATAATAGCTTGTTTAATATAAAGTATCATCTTCTTTTGGTTATTGAGGAATAAAAAAGCAAATCTAAACACCTATTAATGCCCTTCTATGAATTTGCTTCTTTTAACACAGTCCTTTATACATTTGCTCAAAATTAACTTTCATTGCATTTGAAGGGTCTTTTTCCTGATCTCCTGTAGTCACACTTAAAAATCAGCTCTATTGAACACAGAATTATTTTTGAATACAGAACAATTTCCTGGTTACTCTTCATAAATAGGTGAATATAGAAGGCCATCCTTTGGGAATGCCAAGGGGTTGAATACAAAATCAACTTTGGCCACTTTTAAGATGTGACTGGCTGAGGAATTCTGGGAGTTGAGATCCATACATCTTAAAGTGGCCATGGTTGAGAAACACTGCTCAAGCAGTAACATGGTTACGAGAGGAAAACCGGGGGAATATTTTCCGATTCTTCTCTCCAATAAACCTCCTACTGGTAGTATCAACACTTTAACTGCTCATTATACTTCCCATCCTTCAGAATTTTTAGGAGGAATCTGGGATCATTTCTGAAAGAGAAAATAGGAAGTGCAGAAGGTGGATGAGCCTTTTTCCCTACTTGTATCTAGACATAACATAAACATGCCCTAGCAAATTTTTTTTCTGCCATGTCCTCATGATGTTGCTTTCATTTTATACCCATTCCCGCAGCTAAGAAAAATGAACATTTTTAGCTGTTCTGATTCTGTTCTGGTTAAGAAGGGAAAAGGTGTGTTTTCACACATGCTGTGTGATTGCCATAGGTTTAATTGGATGATCTTCCGCATCCATTTGATGTTACAGTCACATAATCCATAGTATCTGCCTAACACCTCTTCCCTAATTTTAGCTCTTATAGACCACCCCACACACCAGGTTCTACTTACCTTTACTACCGGTTTGCAATGGGGTTGCACGTGCGCTATTCTGCGCAAGTGCAGAAGCGTTTTGATGACATCAGGGTCAGTGGGTGGAGCCTCCCACCGGTTTTACTACCGGTTCTATAGAACCAGTGTGAACCGGGGGCAATGCACCACTGTCACACACCCCTTTGGGCCTTTGGCATGGTCCTCCATGCTTTTCTTTGGGCAGGAGCAGAGTTCCAATTTACCTTGGACATCTGGATCATCCCAAATAAACTAGTGATGGCATCATCGGTGTGTCTCAATGTATCTGTGTAGTCGTTAGTTTAGCATGCCTTTAGTATACCCAATTTACTTTTAACAGAAAAAAATCTAATGGCTGAAATAATACATAATTGCTGTTTAAACCTATTTCCATGACTGGTCCACTTCAGAATGCCTATTTTACCCTTGCAACTTTTCTGCATAAGAGACTCCATAATGCCACAGTCCCACACAGGCAATTGCTGTTTAAATACATTGAAACTAATGCACCAAAGCCATTGCCTGAAATGGGAGTATGGTGATTCAGTGCTTAGGGGCAGCTAAATAAACTGTGGTTTATTAAGGCAGAAATATTATGGCTGAAAGGGCCCACTGTGTGCTTATATCTCTCTACTATCTCTGTTTCACTAGCACTCTTTTTTTTAGTTGTCTTTAGTTTTGTGTCTCTTTGTCTGCTAATAGCTGCTGTCCTAAAATGCAGTTGACTCAGATCTAAACCATAAGTATAGGACATTATTTGTACATTTATTTCGCTCCTCTAGTTCTGAAGAGGCTGTTACAAAGCAGGGAAAAGGCCCCAAAGGTATTGAGAAATCCATGTCAGGCAGTTAACAGGTTAAGGATCATTTGCATAAAATTAGTAAGTTTTAACAAATGAATTCACCTGAAAGTAGGATACGGGACACGGCACGTTAATAATTGACAGCCTGTATGAAATGCAATGTTCTTGATGGGGACATTCAGCTCTGCTTTCCTATTAGACCCAGTGAAGCAGCAAACCCTGAGAAAAGAAATGCCATTTCATTCTGCGAATTACAGCTTCTGCATAACAACAATCTTTCACTTTGATGGTTCTTTCTAATAAAAATCCCCAGCTAGATTTTACGCACACAGGATGAGTCAGTGAAAAGAGGGAACAGAAGAGGAAGCCCAGGTGTCCATGCTTTGAGACAGAAAATGAAAGGAATCTTGGTAATACAGTTTGAACGTCCTCCTTGCTTTCATTGTATTCTGCTTTTAAAAGAATCCAAGGTGACAGTTTTGGAAGAGTTTCCCTGTGCGAAGCAACATAAATATGTGTGGACTTCAACTCCTAGAATTTTGGAGAGTTGAAGTTCACTCATTTTAAAGTTGCTGAGGTTGAGGAACACTGCTCCAGTAATATTGCAGGTAGATTCATGCAAAATAAGATGCGACTATTCAAAACATAAGACCCACAGAACCAGACCTATGAAAGATGATCTGGAACAGGAGTATCAAACTCAAGGCCCATGGGCCAGATCCAACCCGTAGGGTGCTTAGATCTGGACCATGGGACCGCGCTGGAAAAAGTGAAGGACTGGCCTGCAGTGCCTCTGCCAGTGAAAACAGAGCTTGGGAGGGCCTAACACAGCCCTTGCGAACTCCGTTTTTGCTGGCAGAGGATTGCAGGAGCCATCCCAGCTGAAAACAGAGATTGGGAGCCCGTTTTCACTGGCAGAGCGCTTGGGCCACAGGTGCCCCTGACACGAGTGATGTCAAGCTGGCCACACCCACCCTGGCCACACCCACTCTGCCCTCCCCCCCCCGGGCAAACACAACCCTGATGCGGCCGTCAATAAAATTGAGTTTGAAACCCTGATCTAGAAGAAAGGTACAATAAGTCCTTGCTTAACAATCATTCATTTAGACTGTTCGAAGTTGTGACAGTGCTGAAAAAGGTGACTTATGACTGGTCCCCACACTTAGAACCCTCACAGCATCCCTGCAGTCACGTGATTGTGATTCAGGCACTTGACAGCCATCATTTATGGCAGTTGCCGCATCCTGCAATGATTGCCGTTTGTGACCTCCTCAGCCGACTTCAGACAAGCAAAGTCAATGAGGAAACTGGCGGGCAAGTTCGCAAGTCACAGTCACATGATGTCTTACTTAAAAATCTAGTTTAATGAACACGGTGGCTTGCTTTACAACCGTATCAAATGAGGTCATAAAATCAGCTGCTGTCAAATGATGCTTCACTTAATGACCACACCATTTAACAATGAGTTTTCTTGTCCCAGTTGTGGTCATACATTGAAGACCACTTGAATTGCCTACAAAATCACCACACACTAAAACTCTACTTAAGACAATGGCTTTATTTATTTATTTATTTATTTATTTATTTATTTATTTATTTATTTATTTATTTATTTATTTATTTGTTCGATTTATATGCCGCCCTTCTCCGGAGACTCAGGGCGGCTTACAATGCATTAAGCAATAGCCTTCATACTTTTGTATATACCTGCATAGTAGGATTTTCGGGGGGGCCCTAAGCAGTGTTCTATTTTATACAAAGTCAGTTTATTGCCCCCACAATCTGGGTCCTCATTTTACCTACCTCGAAAGGATGGAAGGCTGAGTCAACCTTGAGCCTGGTGAGATTTGAACTCGCAGTAATTGCAGGCAGCTGGCAGCTAAGTGCTACTTTAAGTGCAGTTTTTAGTCTGCTGCGCCACCAAGGCTCCTTATTTATTAGTTGGTGAGCACTAAGCTGAGTTAGTCTATGTGTGGACCAAATCCCTTGAAAATTCCCTCAGTCCTTCATACCAGCAAACTAGTTCACACAGAACTGTATCAGCTATTTTGTTGACCAGCCTGCTCACACACACACAGACACAGAGACACACAGAGACACACACACACACACACATCCCAGTGCTGGTTCGGACTGGTTCACAAGAACCGGTAGTAAAACCGGCAGGAGGCTCTGCCACTGACCTGGACGTCATCAGAAGTGATCTGTGCATGCACGGGCACGATGCAAACTGGTAGTAAAGGTAAGTAGAACCCACCCCTGATACACATGGGTGTATTGTTTGTTTTCATGCCCTTGCTCATCTATAAACTCATAGTGTCATGTTGCTTGTAGGGGGGGGGGGACAGCCTTTTCCAGTGAGACCAATGCGGCTACATCAGTTGTACTTCCTTCAGCCCCTCTAGTGACTGCAAGAGTTTCACTAACCACATGCCCTAATGAAGGGAAATGACAAGTGGTCTAAATTTCTGTGAGGCGTTTTTCTTGTTTCTCTGTCACAGTGTCGATAAACTTTCAAGACCCAGCTGGCCACTACCTTCTGACCTGCTCAGGTGAAGAATATCATGTTCCAAATACTAGTATAATGCAGTAATGACTTTCTCAAAGTGCTCTTGCCGCTCTTTCAAAGTTGTCACGTTTTTTTCTGTGCCATAAGTACATCCGCCAAGAGCTGGAAGTGATTCTGCTTTTAATAACATGCCATTATTAAAATTAGTTTAAAGTGAATTTAATCATGTAGCTCATGATCTACTTTACCAAGTTCAGAGTAAATATGCCATCTCAATTAAATTTCAATGAACTGCGGTAGCCAATAAAATCCCCAGCCAGAAGTAATATTTCCAGATATTGATGGCAGAGTTATTGTCATTAATCTGAGCATAAAGCCAACGTCAGATAACAGAAGTTGTCCAATAAACTTCTCAGCCTGGCTAACAAATATTATTAGCCTTTATTTCTATCTCTGCCTTCCCATCTTCTTTTCTACTAGTGGGAATTTCCACATTTTTTTGGTCTGTTCAACACAGAAATAAATATTGATGATGATAATATAAGTACCACAAAAATAAAAGCATATAAATATGAACTCCAGTATTATACAAATATGAAAGATTCATACACACTCAATACAAAATTAGTGAATATCTGGAAATTTATTTTCCTATTTCTTGTTATAGTTAAACAGGTTAAGGAAATATATTTTTTTTATTATTCGGGCTTGTATGTTCCAGCCAGACTGATAATGAGTGGTTTACAGATTCCCCTGTATAGTAACTGGGTAAAAAACTTGCAAGATAAATATAAAGCATGGTTCTAATGACCACGCATTGTAATGGTGCCCTTTCCTCAGGGAACCTTCCACTCCTTACTTCCAAGTACTCCTTTGCTCAATCTCACTGGCTCATTTTTTAAAGAGATAGTTTCAAAATTTGAATTAGCATCCTGAATGTGAAACATTTGAATGCTGTGTCTTACTGCTACCTCTTAATTATTTTGGGACTTGGAACTTTCAATTAGGAGTTATTTAATTAATTAGTTTTAAATGTGGATACATGCCCATCACTGCTGAGGCTGCTGCATTCTGGACCAGTTGAAACTTCCAAGTGCTCTTTCAAGGCAGTCCCCCACATAGAGAGCATTGCAGTAGCTCAGCCATAAGGTGATCAGGGCATGGGTGATTGTCTGAAGTACTCTTACAGTATGTGCATTTTACAGTAATAAGGTAAGACACATTAATAAAACGTACAAATCTAGTAATTAAACATTGCACTTCCAATATTCTTCCAAAACTCCTATATTAAATGTCATTGAAAACCACCACTGTAAAATAAAAGAATTGGTGCATTTCAACTGTCAAATACTATCACATATGAAATAATATTGCATTATAATTATTAAAAATTGGTGCATATAATTTTTCTATTTTGGAGTTGGGGAAAGGGTTTTTCGAAGCTCACTTGAGGTCCTTCGAATCTGCTAAGCCAATATTCATTAATCTTTCTTTGAAATGATCAGCCAAAGAATATTTTCTAAATTATACTCTTGTTTTACAGTAGCAATAGCAAAACCGCTTTGCCAAAGTCTATACTTCAGCCTTTTATGTATAATATGTCAGATAGCAATACAGTATTGACCTTCTATGTAGGTTAATTGGGACGACTTCTGAAATAATGTATTGTGTTATGTAATTATGTAATTGTATTATGAACTCATATTTAGATTTTCTTATTTATTTGGCATTTTCATTACAGCTTAATTGCATTTTAATTAATTAATTGCATTTATTTTTCTATATTTTCTTTTATCAACTGCTGTAAGCATTTCTGTTGAATAAAAAAGTGAGCTATAAATCAAATACAGTACCATCAATGCCGCTAATAAATAATTAGCTACGTCCCAGTTCAGTTTGAATTCTGAATCTGGAGCAGAATGACATGATTCAAGCTGCTATTTAAATCTGAGCATTTCTCATATTGTAGCCTTAATGTTGTGGCCTGTTGGTCACCAGCTCCAGCCGAATCAGATGAGAAGGAGGTGTGGGAGTCAAGGCCAGCATCAGAGGTGGTATTCAGCCAGTTTGGACCAGTTCACCTGAACTGGGAGCGGAAATTGCGGGTGGGCCCACCCCTGCCCCCACCCGCGCCCCCACCCACGCCCACCTGACCTGGCTCTATGCCATCCTATTTAGGCACGTTTTTGAGCCTAAACACATTCCACAAAGCATATGTGTGGAATGCCAGGCGCATGCGTGGGCGGGGCGTGTGTTAGCGAAACGAGCGTGTGTGTGCACGCGCTCACATTTGCGGACCGGTAGGGAAAGTAAGTGAACACCACCCCTGACCAGCATCAAGGCAACCTGAGAGCTCTGAGGGGGGAAGAGGGAATGGAGCTGTCACAGAGAGAGAGAGAGAGAGAGAGGCAGAGCCTGGGCTGTCTATCAGCCCTCAGATGAAGATTCAACAGCCCCCAGGTCTGGAGATGGCTGATGAGGAAGAGGAGGAACAGCTGGGTCCAGTACCTGACACGTGGATACACAAAAGACAAAGGAGAGGAGAGTAGTGGAAATTCGTGGGCCAATCCTTGGGAAGGAAGAGCCACCGCTGCTAGCAAAGCTCCACTCTAGCTCTGGGGATAAAAGGCAGGGGGCGGAGATGAATATATGTGGCAGACAACTATTCATTTTCCTGCTGGACAGACTTTTTAGCCTGCT